AGCCTCTGTGCTGACCCGCCTTATGGCATTAAGGCGATGGCGCTGGATACAGCAACCTATGCTCACTGTCTGGCCGGCATAACTGGCCCTCCGGGCTCGCCCTACGAAGGCGGTCTTTTCTACGTGCATATCCTGATCCCGGACAGTCACCCGATGCGTCCGCCGGTCATCAGATTCCTGACTCGCATTTTGCACCCAAACATCAGTTTCCATGGGGACATCGGGTTGGACTGTATTCGCCACAATTGGAGTTTGGCGCTGACCCTGGACAAACTGCTTCTTAGCGTACAGTCCCTGCTCACCGATCCCTACACAAAGGTCTGCATGGAACCGGCTATCGGCGCTCTGTACAATCGTGATCGTGACAAATTTGAGGAGCTGGCAAAACTTTGGACGTGGAAGTTTGCCTGTCACGACTATTTGTCAACGTCTTTTGTGTCACAGGTTTCGCTGCCAGACTTCACGACCTTTTAGAGGTTCGCTTTATCCTCTCTCCCTCTCCCCAGTGATCAGAAAATTTGTACGACGGGTTGAGGTGGGGGGGGAGGGGGGAGCTTCATTTTACTCAAACTTTACTTTTCGACGATAAACTCGTCGAACTCGCGCTGTTGTCTCCTGATGTGGAGTCGTGTGTGTGACTTGCATGCTTCCAGACAAATCACTCAAAGATTTTTGTTTTTCTTCTCTCTTTTCTTCCACCAACTATATCTCTTATGTGCAGAATATTTTTTATTGTTTAACTAGTCACCTCTGTGCATATAAATATTAAAAATTTAGACCTTTTTGCTGCTCTTGTTTCTTATGTGAATGAAATGGTGGGGAGTGGGAGCATTGTCACGAATGCGGGGTGCTCGCTATCGTCGTCGCTACGAGATATCACTAAATTCGTACGATATCACATCCACATCTTACTTGTGCTTGTTGCGGCTATGATCATGACTGAGCTAGCCGGCCTCGATGATGTCCCGGACGGTACTTCTTCATGCACGATGGGCCGTGGCCGCAGACCTGGACAGTCCAATCCATTGTCTTTGCCAGCGCCGTAGACCGAACACCGACCGCGGACCTTTGGCTCAAGCCAATCGAGGTCTCGGCTTTTCGCCGTCTCCCAACTACTCCCAGTTTGGATCCCGGCGGGGACTCCTGATCCAACAATGGGCTACGACACACGCACGCACACACACACACACCGGATATCGAAGGTTCAAGAACCACTTCCATATCCCGATGAACTGACACCTCATGAAAAACTAATCCACCTCTTCCCCTGCCCCGTGTCCGCGATATCCCAGAGTCAAGGCGGTTTGAACTGGGTGTGAGGGGTAGTTTGCGCAGCGAAGCCCGCATCTACGCGTGCCGCAAACGCGTAGTTTCGCGTCTCAGTTTCCTTAGCTTCACATGGAGGAGGCCTCGTTAAGAGGGGTTCCTTGAAGCAGGATTATCATGAGGATATTTTCACAGTGCAGCAGCGGAGTAAGCGCTAACTCGGTTTTAGAATATTTACCTCCGGCTTTGTCGTCATCTTCCACCTTCCCTCTCTCCCGTGGTATATTTTCGCTAAGCCCCAACCTGGTCGAGAAGAACTCAGGATAAAGTGGTCGCT